TCACCTGCAACCGAGGGCAGGCGCGCGCGGCCAGGACACTCACCAGGTTTTTGAAAAGGGCCGTCAACTCCTTGGTAAACACTGAGAACTTGAGGAAGGCGCTTCCCAGGTCCGGGTCGTCTCTGCACACGCAGTTGCCACCAAACTTCTCCAGCGCCTGCGTGTACTGCTCCTCGTTCTCCACGTGCGCTGCAGCCAAGGGGAGACGGCTGTTAACACGCGGACCTCGCCAGCCCCTCCCCAGCTTCTCAGCTGCGGGTAAAACCGAGCCGTCAGCAGAATAAACATCTGAGCCCGGCAGGCGTGGCTGTGGTTGAGCATCAACCTATGGACCAGGAGGTCAGGGTTCAATTCCCGTCAGGGCACAGGCCCGGGTTGCGGGCTCCATCCCCAGGGGGGGGCGTGCAGGAGGCAGGCGATCCATGATTCTCTCATCATCGATGTTTCTCTCTCTCTCTCCCTCTCCCTTCCTCTCGGAAATCAGTAAAAATATTACAAAAACATTTTTTTTGGAAAAATAAATCTGAGGAAAGTTAAGATGCACCCAGAGCAGAAATAACTCCGCTGTCCCAGCAACACCCTGTGGTGCCGGCAACCGGTCCCAAAGCACACGTGGGAGGCATCACCCGCGCCCTCCACGCCCCAGGGCCGTCCCTCCCTGCATCTCGCAGGTGGCCCCATCCAGTCACCTCTGCCAGCACGGCAGCTGGTGTGCAGCGTGAGACCCACCACTCCGACCCAGAGCACACAGCACCGCATCCCCTTTTTCTTAAAAAAACTTTTTTTTTTTTATTGATTTCAGAGAGGAAGGGAGAAGGAGAGAGAGAGAGAAACATCAATGATGAGAGTCTTGATCAGTTGCCTCCACACAGTGGGCAGTTTTCCGGACCCTTCCTCCCGGCACAACAGGCCCCACAGGAGGCTGTGTGCCTCCTCGGAGGAGAGTAAGTCTTCTCTGGAGGCCGCACTTTTCTGTTAATTCCTACTCTGATATTCTGTTAATTTCTATACATGACATTTTTTTTCTTTAAATTTTTTATTTATTTACTGAGTTTAGAGAGCAAAGGGAGAGAAAAACACCGATTTGTTGGTCCACTTATGCATTCTTTGGTTGCTTCTTATATGTGCCAGGGGGTGGAACCTCAATCTGGGCGTATTGGGACAACGCTCTAACCCACTGAGCCCCCCGGCCAGGGCTGGGGTGAGACCCTCTAAACGAGTCCAGCAGTCTCTATGGAAACCACTCCTGTTCGCATGGACACCTCATGTCCACTGCTCACCGCTTCAATTAGAAACACAACTCAGCCCCTTC